GCCTACTGGGTGGGCATGGATGGAGTGGGTGTGGCCTACTGGGTGGGCATGGCCAGCTCTACATCGTTTGCGCCAAGGGTGCCTGGGCAGGAGTGGGACAGATCTGAGGGTCTCTGGCAGAAGGGGGTGGGACTGGGGCAAGTGCCAAGGCATGGTCCATTTCTTCATGCCTCACAAAGGGTGACACCTCCCCAGCATGCACCCAGGGGGCGGGGCCAACGCGGCAGGGGCTGGTTCCTCGCTGTTTCCAGGCGGCCTTGTGGAGCTAAGACTGAATGAGTTTCAGCATAGATGGCCACCACAAAATTGTACATTGGCTCCCGGCCAGCCTGGGCCAGGACCAAGGCAGCGGGGGCCGTTCCCTCACTGTTTCCAGGATGGCTTCGCGGGCCACATGAAACCACTTTGCGGGCCGCATCCGGGCCCCGGGCCTTGTGTTTGACATGTCTGGTATAGGGTAATCTGTTTGACCAGAAGGGTGGACTAGATCAGAGGTCCTCAACCTTTTGGGCACCAGGGACCGGTTCCCTGGAGGAAGGTTTTTCCATGGACTGGAGGGTGCCTGGTTTTGTGTGCTGCCTGCATCCCACGGATGGGGCTTTGCTTGTTTGTGAGGACCGGTTGCTGGCGTGCTGCGGCCCGGTACTGGTCCACAGACCGGGGGGGTTGGGGACCCCTGGACTAGATGGCCTACAAGTCACTTCCAACTCTGTTGTTCTGTATTCTATTCTGCATTCTGTATTCATTTCCAAGCTTTGCCTTCAGAGCTTTGCGAACGCCACCCCTAAACAGCCAGTGTGCTAAATTATGGATGAGTTCCCCCGCCCCTGAACCACAAACTAATATTTTAACCTGACATCTACTGTGTAAAGCCAGCTTGCTGGTTGAGTTGATGTTCTTAAAGAAGGTGTGAACGTTTAGTTAATCAGTAAGCTGTCCTCAAGTTTACCATCGATAAGCTTGCTGACGGGATTGCCTCATTGCTTCCACCAGAGTCGGTGAAATTCAACCCCTGGAAGACTCCAGTCTGGAAAGGCCATTCCAGGCCCTTAGATGGATTGTTGGATTTGGGGTACTTTCAATACACTTTCCAACACCTTATCCTCAGATGACTGGACGGCCTTTGGATCAAACGTTTGGGTAGCAGAAAGGCCATTGTCCTTTTATCGTCTCTAAAGAAATTTAGATTCAAGGTTACTAGACAAAACACATACTCCCTATCTTGGAAAGAAATAAGGGAAGGAAGAGCTGGTTTACATATCAGCAGAGGCGCCAAGTAGACTGAGCAAGCGTCCCTCACCTATTTGAGTGGATTAGAGTTTGCTACAGATAAATATTTAATATTAACCAAAACGTTTAGCTCACTTTGGCTTCCAACAGCCTTTCAAAGACCGTCATAAGATGGTGGCCACCCAAAATAAATCAATTGTTAATAAACTATTTCCATGTCTCCACTGACCTCAGCTCCGGTGTCACGGGAAACCCAGAACATCTCCATCCAGGTATGTATATTGAAAGGATCCGTTCTGCTGAAGATGTGCTATTCGCACATTGATGTGCTGAAGGTGTGCTATTCGCTATTTGGATCAACATCTCCTTAAATTAAAATAAAGAAATTAAATTTTTTAAAAAAAGTATTTTTCTTTCTTTCTTGTTTTAAAGATGGCTCGCAATCCAGCCAAGGTGAAAGAGTTCAATTTTTTTCAAGTGGGATAAAGATGTAGCTTTTTAATTTACATTTAATTGATGCAATTCCTTAATAATTTTACACAGAGTAGATTCTGGGGCCTGATTTTATAACGTGTGCATAACCATGGTACTCTCCACTTTGGATTACTAAATAAACCCCAGTTCACTGGTTTATACAGCACACTAAGCCAAAGCAAACAAATTCTTCTAGGCAGGCATTCTTAAAAGTGATGAAGTATCTTTGCGAAACAAAAGAAAAGGAAAAAAAAGAGAAAACACCAAATGAGTGCATATGCTTCCAGTTATTTAAAATTAATAAAATAAATTTTAAAAAAACTATTCCATGGTTCAGTTATAAATATGGATAAATATAAATGTTTCTTCTACAGTCCTTTCAACATATGTAATATCTACACTGATTTAGTTCCTCCCATTTTTAGCACCTCACCAGGAAAACACCTCAGTACTGCTCAACCCAGTGTCCTTTAATTTGTTTAATATATATATATATATAGACTATGTTTGCACACCATCATTCTGAATCACAGATTGCTTAACCATGGTTTGTTGAAAACACATAATCATAATCTAAATCAGTTTGTAACCACAATATGTTGAAAAAGAACACTATTTTTTCACGTCCAGCAACAGGTTAAACACATTCTAGACCAAAGGTCCCCAACCCTTTGGGCACCAGGGACCGGTTCCATGGAGAAAGATTTTTTCACGGACCAGAGAGTGTGTGGTTTTGTGTGCTGCCTGCATCCCATGGATGAGGCTTTCCTTGTTTGTGCGGATCAGTTGTTGGCATGCTGCAGCCCGATACCAGTCCATGGACTGGGGGTTGGGGACCCCTGTTCTAGACAATTAACTGTCTAGTTTAATGAAGAGAAGGACAAGGGGGGACATGATAGCAGTGTTCCAGTATCTCAGGGGCTGCCCACAAAGAAGAGGGAGTCAAGCTATTCTCCAAAGCGCCTGAAGGCAGGACGAGAAGCAACGGATGGAAACTGATCAAGGAGAGAAGCAACCTATTTCCGCTTATGTGAAGGATTACTCACAAGAAAGATATATATTGGTTTGGAGAAGATGGATTGTTTATATTGAGTTGAAATAAGGAACAAAAAAAATATCATTTGGTTTTTGAATGAACTTCTGATTTTTAATATTTAAAACTATGTTAAAATGATGGTATTTAATAATTGTATATTTGTTTTAAAAGAGAGTTAAAGGAAGTTATAGATTTGTTAGATTAATAGTTGATTAATGTTAGTTAGATTATGATTATTTTATTGTTAATCCTGTGATTGGCTCTGGGAAGTGAGGGGGGGAGGGAGGGAGGGTTGGGTTTGGGGGAAGGGGGGGATTTATATTGTAAAATTTTATAAAATTTTCAATAAAAAAAAAAAAGAACAAATGCATAAAAAGCCAGAATTGAAAATTATTTATTTTTTATCATACATGGACTTCCAATGTATACTGACATTTTGCCTAGATTAAAAAAAAACCACAATAAAATGTGAATGTTAAAAAGTTCTATATTCAGATACCAGTGTACATAACCATGTAACCATTCCAGGGCAGCATCGTTTATATGAAAAAAATCAGATACTCGACCAGTATATGCCCTCAGCTTATAGCTGGTCACAATGTGATCTACAGTTTGATATGGGATCACACAGTCACACATGCCTCATTTATACAGTGAGTCCCGGCAGACAATGTGTGAGGTGCAAATCCTATTCAGAATTGTCCATGGCTGACATGATAGTTCAAAGCTTAGAATCTTTTTTGTGGGGTCATTTATATGTCTTCCTAAGTCTGGACATTCAGCAACCCATTTGGCTTTCCATTGGGAATCGATGTTGAAGTTGTTGGGCCATTGTTGGGCATGTGCCAGTGGGGGCTTCCTAGATTTGAGCCTTCAGGCTGATAAATAAGAAAGGTCAGTGTATATCGACAGGAGTGATTTGCTCAGAATTTTTCTCTATTCTCAACGCTTACTGACAGCAAATGCTATATCTGCAAATAAGCTGAAGAAACAGCAGACCACCTATTTAGCTGCTGCAGGCTGACTACAAACCATGGTATAACAAAGTAGCAACAATGGTGTATTGGACTATCTGCAAGGAATATCATTTGCCTGAAAGCAATAACTGATGGGACCACAAAATAGACAAAACAATAGGAAATTAAGAATCTAAAGTGCTCTGGGACTTTAGAATTCAAACAATCATCTGCCATACAATGCCCAGACCTAACAATTATTGATAATTCACAAAAGAAGTATATGGAGACTGAATGGGTCAAGAGAAAGGAAAAGACTAAGGAGATGTGGTTGGATGGAGTTGATGAAACCTTCATAAAAGCAGAGGTGAGAATATGTAACAGGGCATTTTAAGCAAGTATTGTAAAGAAATAAATATTGAGATGTGTTGGGATTTTGTTTTACTTCCTTTCTTATCTCATGTCTTTAATTTCTTTTGTATACTATTCCTTACTCATTTTCTACACTTTAACAATGCTCATTTTGAAAGAAATTATTATAATGGACAAGTACATATAGCTATTCATCATGAGCACATATTACTAAAACTATCAAACTTTATATCAAAGTCTATCTAGCCCAACTTTCTACCTCTGCTACTCCTTACTGAAGAATTTGAGAAGAACAATGCTACTGCAATTATGTCCTACTTGTGGAATGCCTGTATATAATAACATTAAGAGAATTGAATCTTCAGACTAAATGATCCTTTAGTGTAATGCATCCAGATGCTGCCTATGTTCATGAATATTTACTAAACCTGAAGATTGTATCTGTGAAGCACACAAAGAGGCAATCTGAGTCATAGTCAGAGATGCAAGAATTAACCTATTAGAAAGTTCAGAATAAATACTTCATTTCTTTATTTAGATGTTACCCTCCTGGTAATATGCTGATTCAGCTGAAAAAAAATAGGAAATCAGTAAGATAGAAAAATAGTAGATTCTTTAATAAAATACTGATGATATTGACATTTTTTTCAAAACAATAGTTTTGGAATAGGCGTTTTGCTCTGGACTATGTAGGTAATCAGACAATGTTGTGGTCTGCAGACCTGAGATTAATAAAAAATAGATTAACATGACCACACATCAAGGATTTCATATGCTTTAATTAGGGAACTGGAACACTCATATGAAATATGCAGTGCTCTTACAGATACCTTGGCAGCATTATTTCAGTTATAAGCAAGTGAGATCTCCTAACATTGCCAAAAATGAATTTCCACAATATATTTTATATAATAACTATATTGGAAACTAACCTGCTTGTGATCAGGATACATCACAGTTCCAATTTCGGGAGATAGTGTTGTGACTGTGGAAAATGAGAAATAAGTCAAATGTGGTATAAAGGATTTTCAAAATTTACCCCTGGATTAAATTTATCTGTTCAGTGAGAGAGAGAAGTTTCCTGAAGATGGGCTCCAGCACAAAAGTTCGAAAGACTAAACCTCTGGCCCGGGTGACTGACTCAGATTGGATCCTGCAACATTATCTTGGGACCCATATACTTGCCTTCACTCCTCTATGCATGCATCCTTAAGCATCACACTTAATATACCCACCCCATTTGGATTTAGCATGGTGTGTATCTTCAGCTCAGCTTATACTTAATATTAAATCAGGACTTGTGTAGATTAAAGTCTATTGAACATTCAGAACAATGTAAGCTTGACCTGTTTCATCCATTTGTTGTGGTTTGTTTTTTTCCCCTTTTCTCCAAGTTCTAGCACGCATTATGGTGATAAAGTGGGCACTCTGTGACCAACCCAATTTTACAATCTTTTTTGTGGCAGTTATTAAGTGAACATCACTTTTATTAAGCAAATCCACTGTCTTCTATGCCATTTTTGCTGAAAACTGGAAGTAAATGCTGGGTTTTGGCAAAAACATAATAAATCATGGCCATGTAACTGTGTGATTCTGCAAATGTTACTATAAATGCAGGCCAGCTGTGAAGCCACTCAAAATGTAATCACATAACTGTCCTGGGATGGGAAGGAGCTGCCGGTACCTCAGAACCAGATGATAGGTATCTTTTGGAGGGGGGGGGGGTTATCCATTGTAATTTCAAATGGTTGCCATGTGTGTTTTGTAAATTGAGGACTACAGTATACATCATGTGAACCAAAAACATCATGTTTGTTCCCATACCTTTAATCACATGGCAAGAGTTATGCCAACAGCCTTTGTTTCATTTGCCAGGGGATTCATCTTTCTATTGGCAGGCCATCCTAGAATTTGTGATTAAAGTATAAGCTGCTCCCCACTGCATATTGTCCCTCACTTGTTACGCCACAGAGCTCTGTACCAGAAAAGTAACCTACAGCTTTGCTATGTGGTGACATGCATTAATTATGGGAGGTCCCAAGAACAAATATAGTTCTAAGAACTGGTGTTCCTCTTTAATGCCTATAATGTTTAATATTTTTTTTTACTGAATCACTGATTGCAGAAATAAAAATAGACCTTTTTTGTTTGCTTCTCCAAGATCCTCCTCTCCCAAGGAAGACTATCTCACTTCTTTATTAATAATCTTCATCATGAGGTTTCATAATGAGGAAGGCATTGTGTGGTAGAATTTTTCTTGTTGCTTTTTATATTCCCACTGTTTTGGTGGGTTATTTTTTGTTTTAAAGTAATGTTTTCTACTGATATTTGTTTATATATAAATAAATAAAGGCATTGTAAGAAGTATATGGAGACAATCCCTTCATGGATCACTACCTTGTCATGGTGAAGGGGCTAATGCAGCTCAACATTATGAGCTAAGCTGTGCAGGGCCACCCAAGATGGACTGGTTATAGTGTTCTGAAAAACCGTGGTCCACTGGAGAAAGAAATGGCAACCCACTCTAGTATCCTTGCCAAGAAAACCCAATGGACAGAATCAAAAGATTAAAAAGATAGGATTCTGTAAGAGGAGCCCCTCAGGTTATAAGATGTCCAATGTGCTACTGGGGAAAAGGAGAAGGCAATTACAAGTAGGTCCAGAAAGAATGAAGTGGCTGAGCCAAAGCTGAAAGGACGCTTAGCTGTGGATATGCCTAGTGCCGAAAGAAAAGTTTGATGCTGTAAAGAATAATATTGCATAGGAACCTGGAATTAAGATCTATGAATCAATGTAAGCTGGATGTGGTTAAACATGAGATGGAAAGATTGAACACTTTGGGAATCACTGAACTAAAGTGGACAGGAATGGATGAATTTAATTCAGATGATCATTATATCTACCACTGTGGGCAACAATCTCTTAGACTTAGAAGAAATAGAGTAGCCCTCATAGTCAATAAAAAAGTGTGAGAAAAGCAGTGATAGAATAATTTTGCTTCGAATCAAAGGCAAACCATTCAACATCACAGTAATCCAAGTCTATATCTCAATCACTGAAGCTGATCGGTTCAGTGAAGATATAAAATACTTTCTAGAACTAACACCAAAAAAAGGATGTCCTTTTCATCATAGGGAATTGTAATAGTAAAATGAGAAGTCAAGAGGTACCAGAATAAAAGGCAAGTTTGGCCTTGGAGTGCAAAATGAAACAGGGCAAAGTTTTGATAGAAACATGCTGGTTATAACAAATACTCTTTCCAACAAACCAAGAGGTGATTCTACACATGGACATCACCAGATGGCCAATACTGCAATCAGATTGATTATGTACTTTGCAGGAGAATTTCTATACAGTCAGTAAAAAACAAGATCTGTGGCTCAGATCATGAGTTTCTTATTGTAAAAGGCTTAAATTGAATAAAGTAGGGAAAACTACCAAGCCATTCAGATATAACCTAAATCATATCCCTTATGAATATAAAACTATCCCAAAAAAGAAATGTAAGAAAGTGAAGTGGCTGTCTGATAGGGATTTATAAATAGCTGATGGACGAAGGAAAGAGAAAGACAAGGGAGAAAGGGAAAAATATGCCCAACTGAATGCAGATTTCCAGAGAATACCAAGGAGAGATAAGATCTTCTTAAATGAACAATGCAAAGAAACAGAGGAAAACAATTGAATGGGAAAGATTAGAGATCTCTTCAAAAAAGTTGAAGATATAAAGGGAATGTTTCGTGCAAAGATGGATGTGGTAAAAGATAAAAATGATAGACACTAACAAAGGCAGAAGAGATTAAGAAGAGTGGCAAAAATACACAGAAAAACTGTACAAGAAATATATTAATGCCCATGATAACCATGATGATGTGATCACTGACTTTGAGCCAGACATCTTGGGGTGCAAAGTCAAATGGATCTTAGGAAGCATTATCAACAACAAAGCTAGGGGAGATGACGCTATTCCAGCTGACCCATTTAAGATCTTAGAAGTTAAGGTTGTTAAAGTACTGCACTTTATGCCAGCAAATTTGGAAACTCGATAGTGGCCACAGATTGGACAAGGTCAGTTTACATTCCAATCCCAAAGAAGGGAAAGGCTGAAGAATGTTCAAACTACTGTATAATTGCAGTCATTTCACATGTTAGGAAGATTATGCTCAAAATCTCAGGCTTCAGCAATATACTGTATGAACCAAGAACTATCAGAAGTACAAGCTGGGTTTCAAAGAGGCACAAAAGATATATATCAGATTGGAGTATGGAGAAAGCAAAGGAGTTCCAGAAAAATCTCTACTTCTGCTTCATTTACTACACAAGAGCCTTTGATTGTATGGATCAGAACAATCATAAAGAGATGGGAGTACCAGATTACTTACCTGTCGCCTAAGAAACCTGTATGTGGGTCAAGAAGCAACAGTTAGAACCAGACATGGAACAACCAATTGGTTTAAAATAGGGAAAGAAGCATGAGAAGGATGTATATTGTTACCCTGCTTATTTAACTTATCATGCGAAATGACAGGTTGGATGAATCACAAGCCAGAATTAAGATTGCTGGAAGAAATAGCAACAACCCCAGATATGCAGATACCACTGTAATGGCTGAAAATGAACTAAAGAATCTCTTGATGGGGATGAAAGAAGAGTGTGCAAAAGTTGGCTTGAAACTCAACTTTAAAAAACTAAGACCATGGCATCTGGTCCCACCCCTTCCTGACAAGAAGAAGAAATGGAAACAGTGACAGATTTTATTTTCTTGGGCTCCAGGATTATTGCAGAGAGTGACTGCAGCCATGAAATTAAAAGACACTTTTTTCTCCAGAGGAAAGCTATGGCATAGGTCCAGGCTATCTGATGAACTGTCTCGTCCTGCTAGGATAACCCCGTAGGGCCTACTACAAATCCCATTGGTCAAAGAACTCTGTTTACTGGGATCTATAAGAAGAGCCTTCTCTGTCATGGTCCCTTCTCTTTGGAACATCCTACCTTCTAGGGTAAGATCTGACACACACACCCCTCCCATCTTCCATAGAACCCTGAAGACGTGGCTGTGCTGGAGCTGACTGCTGGATTGTTGACAGACTCCATCTCCCCCATTGCTCCCTGCTCTTCACCTGTCCATCTTTTTGATTATCATATTGTTTTGATTATCATATTATGTTGTTTCTTTTTCATTGTTTATTTTATTGTTCTATTGTTTTACTTCAGTTTTGTTTATACTCTTTTGATTTCTTTGTTTTTATTGTTGCAAGCCGCCTAGAGAAGGCCCATGGTGAGATAGGTGACAAATAAATTTAATAATAAGTAAGCTAAGTAAGTAATTATTAAATAAATGAATGAATGAATGAATAAATAAATAAAGTTACTTACAAGCATAATCTGCAATTTGAGGTTTGGCATGAGAAATCTTAGTTAATAAAGAGGACTTTCCTGCATTTGGAAATCTAGAACAATGAGAATTGAGAAAATTACCATTTAATGTTACTATAGAATTTTTACATACAATAGAACAAAGTTGTTGAATTGCAAATGAAAAAAAAATAAAGTAAATATTTTCTAATAATGAATGGAAATGTCTTATAGAGGTGAAGAAAAAAGATTCAATTTTAAGCCACGCAAGTATATTTTCCTGACCTCCCTTCTGCATTCCAAATCTACAAAATCTTTTCAGGGTTTGCGCAAAAGTAAGATTTCGACCCTTTCTCTATTGTTCTGAAATTGTTAAGTCAATCTAAAATAAAGCTAGATTGAATAACAATATTTGTAGTACAAAGGAAATTACTTCAATTACTGAGATTTTAGAATATAATTTTCAAGATCAATAACTTACCCAATTAAACCAACATCTGCAATAAGTTTTAGATCAAGATGTATCATGTGAACCTGACCTTTGGTAGGCAAGAAATTTGTTACTGGACATCCACCAATACCTCCATGTGCTACCAACAATCTTTCTCCTACTTTGTCAAGTTTACCTAAATATAAATATTAAGTGTCAGGAAAATTTTTGTATCATTGGCACAGAACTTATTTTAACAAGCATTTTTCAACAACATACTATGTTTTTAGGCAGGCATTTTTTAAAAATTCAGCAACATGGAAAATAATTTTATCAATCATCTATAAATTATAGATGTTCTCATCAGTTAGTGAACACATTGAATAGAAAATATATAGTACAAAAGGGTCCTATGAATGAATGTACATTCCAAAGACCTATGGAAACATTCACATTAAATCTGAATAATCTGAGATTATCAGGTAATATCAGGGTGAAGGCTTTTGCCAGAAGAACTTTATGCCTGTGCCCCTATAATAATCAGGAGTCAGGCTCAATATGATAGTAGCTCAATGTTTACATTCCATTGAGCTCAAAATAAAATATAATTTACAAATAAAGGTGGAAATAAATTAGCAAATATATACTAGAGCAGAGTCCCCCAATCTTTCTGGCTTTACGGACCAAGGAGGGGGAAGGGGAAAGGGATGGCTCTGCGTAAGCAGTGGGCAAGGGCACACGTAGCTTCATTCATGCAAATGGAGTGCATGTGCATGTGCTCGCCCACTGCTCATGCAAGTAGGATACACGCACACACATGTGCTCGCCTGCCACTTTTGCAGTCCAGTTCCGAACGGCTCTAGGCCCGGCAGTAAGCTGTGGGCCGGAGGTTGGGGATCCCTGTACTAGTGTGACAAGGCTGGTTTATTCCCTGCCACAAGATGGCTTTGACCTCACACAACTTTTACCTAGCTATAATCATTCCCAGCATATTGTTCAAGACTTTATAAGAATTGTAATTTTAAGAATGATGCCTAAAATTATTTTTCTGCCTGAAGATGACGAATGGGACTTCGTCGAAACGTCGCCAAGACACTTCCAATTTTATGCGGGAGAAAACCCGAATAACCAAAGACCTACATATATATATATGTGTGTGTGTGTGTGTGTGTGTGTGTGTGTGTGTGTGTGTGTATGGGAGTGAGGGCGAGGGGGAGAACAACAAGAGGGGGAAGGAAGAACCCGCACTGCAGCACAAGGAGATTAGCAGGCAAGAGCAAAATATGCGTGGGATTCGTAAGAGCACGGGAAATAGCCCACATTCCTCCCCCCTGTCCCTTGGAAGCAGCCACGCACAGAACGATAGAGGGGCTGTACACAAGAGAGGGGGAAACACCCGGATCCTGAACCCCCCTAACATCGGAACGGCGGATAAAACAACACACGAGAGAACGCAAGCTCGGGGAAAGAAAGGAATGAACATTGATGTAGGTAATGCAACTAGAGTACGGCAGGATCAGCTGGGGCCGATTACGCGCTCCAGGAACCGGAAACTGACACTTAACAACTATATATAAGACTTTACTCAGCACTTGCCTTTAACCCTGATGATGTCAAGTGTACTTGACGAAAGCTAGGTTATTAAATTCTATATTTTTATAGATATTCTCTTGGTGGTCTTTATTTCTAGCACCATGAACATTCCCAAGAGTCGAATTTTTGTTTTTATCTCTGAATATATATATATATATACACACATACATACATACATATAGAAAGTTTTTCAGACAGACCGGTCTGATTGATTGCACCTTGCCATTTTTGACTGTTATACCGCAGTTCTACTTTTTTTATAATCACTTTTGCCTTGCAGCCCCCCAACTAGGGGTGTTAAGCAGGCTCAAGTCGCTACTGCGATACATTACAAATTCAGATTTCTTTTTGCTGACAAAGAGTTAAAGAATTAAGTGGGAGACTAAAAAAAAAAGTAGAACTACAGTATAGCAGTCAAAAATGCCAAGGTGCAATCAATCAGACAGGTCTGTCTGAAAAACTTTCTGTATATACTCCCTTGACTCGGCTGACAAAGAGGGGAGGAGAGCCGGTGGCCTGATGGTTAATACAACTGCCTAGCATGTAGGCTGCCTAGATTTGAATCCCATAAAGGGTGTGGCTAGCTGATGAGAGCATAATGAGCTCAAAATAGCTATTCTAGTCTCCCACTTAATTCTTTAATAACTCTTTGTCAGCAAAAAGAAATCTGAATACATACATATATACATATACCTACACACACACACACACACACCAAGCCATTAGTTATTTACTGCAGAAAAAAAATGTAACTGAGCTTCAGTTTTCAAGATGTTATTGGAAAGTTGGGAATTGTAATTTTACCCGGCAGTATTAAAAAAAATGGCATGAAGAAAAATCAAACTAGATATCCAAGCTGCTATTATGTTCAACATAGTAATAAAGATAAGAGTAATGAAGATCCTTACCAAGCTGTTTCCCATCATCTGTAGTAACAAATATTCCTGGAGGTATATTTACTTCACAGTCTTTTCCTTTATTTCCTTTCAATGCAGCAATACTTGGGAGACCAAAAAATAAACATCACATGACTGTTTTCTAGGACAGGACTGAGAACCAGAGGCATTCTCAGTCAATAAAAAGAACTCACCTACTGTTGGTTCCTGCTTCTGCCACAAACCGCTTCTTTGGATATTTATCTTTCATTTTCTTCAAGGTCATTTTTTCATCTGCTATTAACCAGACATCACCGCCTTTTCCTCCAATGCCACCTAAATGAGCATGACCCATTCCACCAGTTCCACCTTTCACGTAGATCCTTAGGTCATCCATAAATCTGCCATACTGAAAAAATTAATACATGAAACATGTTACTTCAACCCAACAGAAAATTGCAACATATTATAAAAAGAGATGTACCGAGACAGAGGTGGTCTATTAGTATGACTTCCTTTACCTTAAATAAAACTCTTCATATTATAATATAAGCCACAATATTTCTTGTTTGATGTTGCTAATTTTATTTATTTTCTGTAGGAACACATAAAGCGCTTTTCTGGAAGATGACACTTCACTATTTCAGTGACCACAAAATAGTTGTTGGATTTATAAATTTTATTAAGGCATGGTTTCTTTAGCTATGGCTTATCAAATATTATCAGATATTATTAGTGGGTTTGTTCTAAATCGCAATTTTCAAACCACAGCATATGTATTCACTATTTGTGAAAGCTATCTCAATGCTGACTCCGTTGAAAAGCAGAATAAGAATGCTTTAAATAAATAGAAAATTAAACAGGTTCTGTAAAGTATTAATTATATTCTCTTCCTAAATCTGAACAACTATACTCCAATAGATACATGAGATCTATGCAATGGCAATCAAATATTAGGTTTATGATATTGCATTGAATACAAATGTTGTGGTTCGTAAAACATGGTTTAGCACAAACTCACTAGTAATATCTTATTTGATAAACCATAGCTAAAGAAACCTCTCCTTAATAAAATTTATAAATCCAACCATTACTTTGTCTTCATTAAAACAGTGAAATGCTATTGTCAAAAACAGTGCTTTATTTGTTCCTAAAGAAAATAAAATTAGCACCTTAAAACTCAGCATAAATCAACGTTTCTTGGATTAGAACATTAATTAAATGAATGAATCTCTAGTTCTATAGAAAATTATGCCATAGTAAATCCTATACAATGAATTTCTTCCTTTGAAACTATTTCCTGAGTTAAACATCTTGCCATAAATTGATAGTATTAAGACTCACATCCCAACAATAAGCATAATTGTAGAGACATACATTTTCTATAATTTTTATAATTTAATAGACAAAAACTCAATTGCTCTTCTTTAACTTAGCTCTTCATTGCCAAGATATGCCTAATTGGCCCAACACATTCATTATGAGGTAATAGAACAATTTAAGCAAACTACCAATTTTCTAAATTCATCCATACTGAACCATAAACTGACCATAAGGACTAAGTTCATATTGTGCAATAAGCAAAATATATTGTGCGCTGAGGCGAGTTTGTGCCTCAAACCACTCTAGGAACATATGCCAAACCAACGTTTCTTAAACTTTTTTGGGGGAGGGGGAACCTCTTCCTGCTTACAAAGGACTCTGCATATCAACATTTGTTTAATGGGAGGTTAACATATCATTTTTCAACATGCAAATAATTGTAAATAATTTCATTTTCACGAACCCGTGAGAAGGTCTTGGGGCACTCCCAAGAAGTCCTAGGACATTTGGGGGGAAAAATACCGCCCTAAGAGAAACATCTCCATCAAACCAAGTGTTTTCTCCCCACTTGCTTTTCCCTTCAAATCCAAAGTCCCAACCAACGAGGGGAATATCTAAGACGGTAGGAGCCCAAGAGCAGCACACCCAGACCGTATCAACTTGGGAAAACGTTCCATGATCTGGAACAACCCTGGGCATCTTCCTCTTTCCCCCAGGGGTACAAGCTATGGGGAAAGGGGGATCACTTTAAGATCTCACTAACCTGTCTGACTAAGAGAGTGCGGCTAACCCACACCATACTATCCGCCAATAAGTTTAAGCAAGTCCGCCGCGGCTTCCGCGATGGGTTGGATTCCAGCCCAGGAGGACGCAGATTGATGACGTCAAATGACGAGCCACTTCCACTTCGGAAGCCATAACGGAAGTCGGGGAACGGCTGGTCCGGAGGTTAAGGGAGCGGCAATGGGGCTTAATCCATTCCCGGAAACTGGCTGGGAAGTTCATGTTTGTTGAATCACAGATCCGGAAAACACCATTTTCGGGGCGACTGAATGAATCTTTCCCTTCCGTAGCATTTTAAATAATAAAAATCACCGAACGTTAGTGGGTAGCTTAGACGTTAACTTTGCATGCAATGCTAGGATCCTAGGTTAATTGTAAAAAATAAATCACGGTCCATTTATATTTCACTTCCCAAATTTTGGGACAGTTTTCACACATTTCCTGTATTGGAGCTATTCTGATTAATAGGGTGGAGTGGGGCGGTGGGGGGCGCAAATAGAAAAAGCAGAGCTTCTAAATGCTATAATACTGGTGCACTTATTTTAAAAATAGACATTACCATCTCAAAAGTGGGCATATAGGATCATTGTAGCCAAGATCTAAAATTACTTATATTCACAAAGCTTGTTATCCTATTGTTCTAGATTCTTGCTCCAAAGTAGCTCCCTGTGAGCCTTTGAGGATTTTTTCAATATGGATGTTTTATATCCTAAGATAAATTTAAATATAGTTTTTGGCTTGTTTTGGGAGGGTTTGCCTTCAAGTCAATAGTGATTTTTTGCAACTGCTTAAACTAGTTTTATTGGCAAATACTTTTTGCAGAAGTGTTTGCCATTGACTTCTTTCTAGGGCTGAAAGAAAGTGCCTGGCCCGAGGTCACCCAGCTGGATTTGTGCCCAAAGCTGGATTAGAACCCCTAGTCTTCCAGTATCTAGCCTGGTGGCTTAACCCCTACACCAAAATAGTTCCTTAAATACAGATGCATCCTCTTTTATTTTTGCAGGCGGACTCCAGTCATCAAACAATCCTACAACAGAAACCATTGTGAATCAAAACAATAATACCAGCTATAAAGAGATTGCTTTCATCCTACAGTATTTAACTGATTTTAACAAGCCAGAAAAATATGTTCTATTGTTTTTCTAAAACCATATGAAAATTATATTCAAGGTACTTGAAGAGTTGCAATCTTGTAGGCTCTGTTAAGGACAGCAGGACATAATTCAGAGCAGGCAGATATAGGACTGCACTGATGGTATTCATTCTTATCTGCTTGTCAATGATTACTTTTTCTGACAGAATAAGAGCTATCTTGCAAACTCTATCTAATCTGTTCTGAATAATGACCATCCTGTGTTCACTATATTGGAAGTATTTAACTCTGTATGCAAAGAAGTGGATATATCTTAATTATTACTGGATAGATTTTTTTTCATCCATAGAAATGTTGCATTAGTTACATTTTTACTTATTATTTATTAACTAGGCTTGTAAATTACTTCAGTCCTAGCCAACTCTAAGTGAGTATTCTTTTTTTAAATAAAGTTTAAAATAGTATAAAAGAACAACATTAATAATCCTAAATTAGTATCCCAAAATACTCCTCCAATAAAAGAAGCGCCACCTGTAGTGATCCATTTATATTTCACTTCCCAAATCTTGGAACAGTTTTCACACATTTCCTGTATTGGAGCTATTCTGATTCATAGGGTGGAGTGGGGCAGGGGGGGAGGCGCAAATATTTTTCCACTGAACAAGGAAAGTTTTGGATTTTATTTTAGTCTCATGCTGAAATTTAGAATTTTTTGTGGAACAAGGTGAACTAGCAATTCAATTAAACTGTATCTTTGATATAGTAGTTCCTATTGTGATTTCTATTATTTCTATTTCAATTATTTTAGTCTGCCATATGCTGTTAGGATTAGGGTACAATATAGATATTAGAAATAATAATTTCCCAATGAGATGTTATGGAAATTTGTCATTAGGCAAATGTACTATCCTGCATGTAAAGAACTTTATCCAATACCAGACTTTGAAAATAAATCAGCTAATGTTTATCAGATCCATTACATTTATATTTGGAATGGTGATGTTTGCGTGTAAAGTTAAAAAAAGCTTCTAAATAAATGTAGAAATTTTTAGTAAATATACAATCTTCATCTATTTGGCTAAGAAATTATTGAAGAAATGTATTTGAGCAGTTGTTTGTATGTCATACTACTTGAAGAGTTCATGTCATTATGAACAGTATAGAATGAACTGTTCGATTCAGTTCATTACTGTTCAGTTCAATAATAATTCTTCAGTGCATTGTGTACTTTTTTACACGGAGAAAAGTGGTGATTGTGTGTGCTTATCATGCGGAAATTATTCTCTTCAGAATCCCATGTTCCTGAAACTGAATCCCTCCAGTTGAAACATATCCCATAGAAATCAATCTCATTTTCAGGCCAATAATTTCCTTCATAATTAACAGAATAACAGAATGACAGAGTTGGAATAATGGGAAGGGACCTTGAAGGTTTTATAGTCCAACCCCCTGCCCAAACAGGAGAGACAAGTGGTTGTTCAGTCTCTTCTTAAAAGCCTCCAGTGATGGGAGCACCCAAAACTTCTGAAGGGAAGCCATTCCATTGGTTAATTGTTCTCACTGTTAGGAAATCTCTCCTTAGTTCTAGGTTGCTAATCTTGATTAGAGAGAAGCAGCCTTCTGGTACTTCGGAAAATAGTTGATCTCCTTTTCTTTGTGGCAGCCCTCAAATATTGGAACACTGCTACTATGTCATCCCTAGTCCTTTTCACAAGACTACCCATACCCAATTCCTGCAACTATTCTTTCTATGATTTAGCTTCCAGGCCCTTAAATCATCTTCGTTGTTCTTCTTGGCATTCTTTCCAAAGTCTCGACATCTTTTTTTATAACTGGATGCAGTATTGCAGGTGTGCTCTTACTAAGGCTTTATAAAGTGGTACTAGTACTTTACCTGATCTTGATTCTATCCCTCTGTTAATGCAGCCTAGCACTGTGTTGGCTTTTGTAACTGTTGCCACGGACTAGAAACCAAGAATAACAGAATTGGAAAGGACCTTGGAAGTCTTCTAGTCTAAGCCCCTGTTCAAGCAGGAGGCCTATGTCATTCCAGAACCAGGGGTAGTCAACCTTGGCTCTTTTATGACTCGTGGACTTCAATTCCCAGAATTCCTGAACCAGCTTAGCTGGCTCGGGAATTCTGGGAGTCGAAGTCCACGAGTCATAAAAGAGCCAAGGTTGACTACCCCTGTTCCAGACAAATGGCTGTCCAATCACTTCTTAAAGTAGTGGGTACCACTACGTCCAGAGGCAAGCCATTCAACTGATTAACTGTTCTCACAGTCAGAAAATTTCTTCTAGATTGCTTCTCTCCTTGCTTCTCCTCTTGATTACTTTCCATCCATTGCATCATGTCCTGCCTTCAGGTGATTGACCTCTCTTCTTTGTGGCAGCCCTTAGATATTGGAACATTGCTATATATCACCTCTAGCCTTTCTTTTTGTTAAACTAGAAACATTCCTATCCATATGAGAAAATGAGGCTACAATACATAAAGTGGTTCCCTGAAGATGGGCTCCAGCACGGGTCCAAAAGCTTGGAATACAAAACCTTTGGTCCAGGTGATCGACTTAGATTGGATCCTGCACTATAGTATGCATCCTTGATAACATTTCTCTCAAAACAATCTTAGTGATTAGGATGTTTGGTGTTATAAGTGGTCTCTCAGCAATTCTCAGTAACTCAATGGCTTTCAGTAACTGTACAACTGGAGAAATTGAGTGGTTACTGAACATATTTAATCACTTAAAATGATTAAGGAGTGAAAAGTTTTAGTGTTCAGTGATTGTCCACTAGGACAGGGGTGTCAAACTCAATTTCATTGAGGGCCGTATCAGCATTGCAGTTGTCCTCGGGGGGGGAGGCGGGTAGGTGTGGCCAGGGTGGGCATGGCCTACTGGGTGGGCATGACGAGTGGATGTGGCCTACTGGGTGGGCATGGCCAGCTCTTCATCGTTCACGTCAAGAGTGCCTGTGGGGGCCTGGGCAGGTGTGGGACAGATGTGAGGGTCTCTGGCAGAAGGGTGGGACTGGGGCAAGCACCAAGGCATGGTCCACTGGAAAAGCCTCACTGTTCCTCTCAGGCCATGCGAGGGGGGGCTGATGGTGCTGCGTGCTTCCTGGAGCCCTGGGCAGCAGAGGTCAAACGCCCAGCCCAGCCCTCAAGCACCCGTGGCACCAAGCCCAGCCCCACTTCCCCAAGGGGGTGCCCAGCTGCATTTATCTCCTCCTCAAGGCTGATGCTGCTGTGCTTGCTCTCCTTAGCCAGGTTGCTCATGATGGGCACGAGGGCAAAGTCAGAGGGAGGCCCACTCTCCATGGGAGGAGACCTGGCTTTGTATCCAAAGCTTCTTTAGCAATAGGATGGGAGACCCAGGATAGGCTAGGAGGAGGGGGCAAGGGAATGGTGAAAGGGCAGCAGACCCTCCCTCTCCTTCCTTCTTTCCTTCTTTCCTCCCTTCCTCCCTCCCTTCCTTCCTAAGAACAGAGTGGTGGGAAAATATTTGAGATGAGGGAGGGAGAAAAACAGGCAAGAAACACAGCTGGGGAGGTGTCACCCTTTGTGAGGAATGAAGAAATGCACCATCGCCTGGAAATGGCCAGCAAATGGCCCTGGTCTACTTTACATATCTGGCTTGGTGGGCTTTTGGGGGAGGGGATGCCATGAGCAACGTGAGAGTCGATGTTACCTGTGCAATGCCACCCAGCC